ACGGGCTCGTCACAGGGCCCGCCGATGGACCCGCTGTCGGACCCGCCAACGAGATCGCCAGCAAGCCCGCCTTTGACCCGCCACCCGCACCCGCGCGACTCGTTCCTTCCCCGCTTGCATCTGCCGCGCCAGCTACTACCGTTTCATCTAGTTCCTGGCGCCCCACTTGGAACCCGATGCCCCACCTCTACCCGGCCGCTTGCCCATCTCCCCCCAACCCCCCCCCCCCCGTCGCAACTGTTCGCATGTGCAGCGGCGGTCGCTGTGGGTGAGAGAGGGAGGACGGGAAGGGATTGGCGGCCCAACCAACGTGCCAGCCAGCTCGCACCCCGCCCATCTCCCGTACGCCACCCGCATCTGCACGACCCGTCCCTGCCCCGCCTGCATTTGCCGCGTCAGCAACTGGCGTTTCATCCCGTACCCGCACTTTCCCTGCCCCTCCCCGTCCCTCCCTCGTCGCGCCTTCCCCCTCTACCACGCCTGCCTATGCCGTGTTGGGCGGTGGTGGCTTTGGAGGACAGTGGGGGCGGCGGCGGCGGGAATGGCGGGAGTGGCGGGGTTGGCGGCTCATGTGGGGGGGTGGGGGAGGCGTGGGGGATAGGGGTGGTGGGCGCCTGTCAGCAGTGAACGCCACCGCAAGCACCAGAACTGCCGCCAACGCCTACCGCGCGTCCATCTTCCCTTCCCCCCCTCCCCGTCGCCTTCACTACCGCGACTGCAGCTGTTGGGGGGGGAGTGACATGGAGGGGGTGATCAAACTGCAGCAATTGTCGCCACACCTCCTCCTCTCTCTCTCTGCCGCTGTTGCTGCTGTGGGGGGGAGGTATAGGGGGTGTGGGTGGCAGTTGCTGCAGCTGGAACATCCACCCACACCCCCTGAACCTCCCCCCCACAGCACCACCAGCACCAGATCCAGGTCCAGCTGCCAGCACTAGCACCAGCTCCAGGGCCAGCCGCCAGCACCAGCACCAGCTCCAGGGCCAGCCGTCAGCACTAAGCACCAGCTCCAGGGCCAGCTGCCACCACCAGCACCAGCTCCAGGGCTAGCCGCCAGCACCAGCACCAGCTCCAGGGCCAGCCGCCAGCACCAGCACCAGCTCTAGGGCCAGCCGGCAACACCAGCACCAACTCCAGGGCCAGCCGCCAGCACCAGCACCAGCTCCAGGGTCACCCCGCCAGCAGAGAACCCCGCCAGCAGAGAACCCCGCCAGCAGAGAACCCCGCTAGCAGAGAACCCCGCCAGCTGAGAACCCCGCCAGTAGAGCACCCCGCTAGCAGAGCACCACCCTCTGCCCTGCCTCTCCCCTCCCGCGGCTGCTACTATGGGGGGTAGGTGGCAGGGACGGGGGGGTGGGAGGGCTGGCTGCCGTGTGAAGGACAGGGCAGAGACAACTGTGAGTGGGGCAGGGGTGTGGAGGAAGGAAAAGGAAGGGAGGGAGGGGGTGCGGTTCCAGGGGGCAGATGAAATGGGGGGTGAGGTTGAAGGAGGGTGGTTGATTGGGGGTGGGGATGTGGGGGTTAGTAAGAGGGGACGCTGCGGCCACCCCCTCACCTCCTCTCCTCTCGGCGGGAGCCACTCTCTCCACATCAGCTGCGCGAGTGGTTTTCTCGGCGCTGGAGCCATGCTGCAAGAGCTGGTGGTGCTACGTGCGCTGTAGGTCCTGCTGCTGTTGGAGCTGCTAAGGGTTCTGAAGCCGCTAGTCCCGGAGGTGCTAATCATGGAGGTACTGGAGCTGCTGGGCCTGGTGGTGCTGCTGGGGCTGGAGCTGGCGGTGCTGCTGGAGCGGGTGCTGCTAGAGCCACTAGAGCTGGCGCTCCTTGAGCTGCTAGGCCTTCTAGTGGTTCTGGTGGAGCTGGTGCTGCTGGAGGTGCTCGCGCTAGAGGTGCTGCTGGAGCCGGTGCTCCTGGGGGTGCTGGATATGGCGCTGTTGGAGCTGCTGGAGGTGCTGCTCGAGCTGGTGGTGCTGCTGGAGTTGGAGCTGGCGCTAGGGGTGCTGGTGCTGTCCCTCCTAGTTCTGGAGGCGCTACTCAGCCGCGGCCGTACTTCGTTCCGCTCCTTGAGCACGTTCTTAGTGTTCCGCCTTCTACTGGTCTTGCTCCTTCCTTAGATTGTCCACCCTGTCCACCCTTCCTTTCTTAGTCCTACTGTCACGCGTCTCCTGGCCACCGTTGCCTCTGACCCTTCCTTTGACTCCACTGCTGCGTCTGCCTTAGTTGCTGAACTTGTCGACTTTGCTGCTCACTGTCATCTAGACTACGCCGCTAGCCTTGTTGCTGAGTCTGAGTCTCTCTGTCCTCCGTCCGTCAGGGGTGAATGTGCTCTTGGCACGGACGTCCTTGAGGACAAGCAAGAGGACTTTGAATTCTTTGCAGCTACTGTACCTCATCTCGTGTCCATGCTGATTGCACCTGAGGGTGACCCGTGTGCACCAGACATCCCGACCCCACGCTTTTACGCAGAGGCGATAGAGGGTCCCTACTCCTCTCAGTGGCAGTCAGCCATTAATGCAGAGATGACATCCTTGAAGTCCACAGGCACTTACGTCGACGAGGTTACCCCCCCTTGGGCGAACATCGTTAGCAGCATGTGGATTTTCAGGGTGAAGCGGCCGCTGGGTTCTCCGCCTGCCTTCAAGGCGCGTTACGTTGCTCGAGGCTTCACTCATCGACGAGGAGTTGAATTCTTCCAGACCTTCTCGCGGACCCCGAAGATAACCACTCTTCGGGTTCTGCTGCACGTCGCTGCTCAACGTGACTACGAGCTTCACTCTCTTGACTTCAGCACTGCTTTCCTACGTTGACGACTTGGTCTTTGCCACAGCTGACACTGCTGGACTCGCCCACGTGAAGTCGGAGCTGCTGAAGAGATACACGTGCACAGACCTGGGTGAACTACGCAGCTATCTTGGCTTGCAAATCACCCGGGACAGAGCACGGCGCACCATTACCTTGACTCAATCACACATGGTGCAGCAGGTCCTTCAGCGCTTCGGCTTCACATACTCCTCCTCTGTCTACTCGCCATTTGCTCTCAGCTCTGCCTTTGGATGAGCCTGTAGAGCCGAATGGCCCGTACCCAGAGCTTGTTGGCTGCCTCAACTACCTGACCTGCACTCGACCTGACTTGGCATACCCTCTTAGCATCTTGGCACGCTATGTTGCTCCTGGGAGACACCGACCAGAGCACATGGATGCAGCTAAGAGGGTGTTGCGCTACCTGTGCTGTACGTCGGGCATGGGGCTCGTGCTTGGAGGACGTGCTTTAGTTGTCATGACTGGTCAAGCAGACGCTTCTTGGTTTGACGGCTTGGCTACGCAACGATCGTCATAGGGCTAGACCTTCAGCCTTGGCTCCGGTTCTGTTTCGTGGTGGTCAACCCACTCGTCTTCTGTTCTCAGCTCCAGTTGTGCGGCTGACATCTACGCTAGGGCCATGGCTGTACAGGAGTTACGCTGGCTCACCTACCTGCTGACCGACTTGGGAGAGGCGCCTTGTTCTCCTCCTATTCTGTACGTCGACAACAAGGCCATGATTGCCTTATGTCAGGAGCAGAGACTGGAGCACAGAACGAAGCACATTGCTCTGCACTACTTCCTTGCTCGAGAGTTGCAGCAGCGTGGCCAGCTTCGTCTTGTTTACGTGGCCTCTGAGGCCAACACTGCTGATATCTTCACCAAGGCACTTCAGCCTTGTGATCATCAGCTTTTCTGTACTGTTCGAGGTCTTGTGCCTTTTTGGCCTCACTTTCTCACTTCTTGAATTTCCTTGTTCTGTGATTTATTTACTTATACTTGCATGCTTACACTTGCTAGGTTGTGATCACTGTACTGCTTGTTCCTCTTTATATATAACTCTACATGTGAACTTGGCTTGTGGCCATTTGCTTGTGCTCGGACTGTGTGGTGACGTTGTGATTCACCCTGAGCTTGACCTTACCTTGTTCACTTGCTTTTCCCCCACTTTGCCTATGTAGTTGTGTCACAACTATGCATTTATATGATTTAGGTTGTAGTGTGTCACTCCTTATGGGGTACAGCCCAGTTAGGTTTTGCATATACAAACCATGTACTGCTGTCATTCTAGTCATTCAAGGCTGCCCCGCATCGCCTTCGGATTTCCCTTCGCCGAACCTCCACCTAACCCAACATTGCATTCTTGAAGTTTGCTCATAGCTATGGTAGCGACTATGTTAGCACGTACCTTCATTGTATTGCCAGTTCAGTTAGTCGCAGCTTCGCATTTGTTCACCACGCAACCCTGTTTTACAACTCAAAGCACCTGGTATCAGCGGTACTTTCCTAGTTCACATTGCTTTAACGATAGTAGTTTAGACGCATGGGTTGGCTGGTACGGTGGGCTGCAGGACGATTGGTTGCAAGGTTCATGTCCGACTCTGATAGTTCTTGCTTTCCACTTGCGTGAAGGCCACGGATACCCTTCTGCGTACTCGGCGAAGCCTGCAACTCATGGACCATATGGCTTTCAATCGGCGTGTAAGAAATGGCAGACATGCTGACTACTGTGAAGGCACTAACAACGGAAGTGCAGTAGTTATGAGAATAATGCAACGAGCTACGCCAGACGTGAGGTGAAGCGCGCCATCAGCTTCCTATTGAAGAATGCGGAGGCAACAGTAAAGTGGTGAGCAACCCTCTGGACGCACTCACATGTAACTTTGGAGAAGAGGATAGACAGTGAGCAGCAGCGATGACGATTGCCGTGACAACGATCAAGATTAAACCAGCGAGCCTCCCCCCGTTCAATTCTATGGACAAAAACACTACACTGAAGATTGGCTCTTCAACGTTGAAGTCTTCCTCACTGCAACGAACGTTAACGACGATGCCACGCGGTTTCTCTTCAGCGAAGCCCAACGCTTGAATGGTGGCGCCGAACCTTGGACACGGGGACCTTGACAGGTGTGACACATGCAGCAGACGAGACCTCAACTTCGGCTTATGAAGTGGCAACATCAATCTTCAGTGTGACCAAGATTCGCATGTGGAAGGTGTGGGGTGCAACCTTGGAGGATCGTTTCGAGCACGTATCCGCCTCGGAGCAGGCTCGCATGAAGCTATGTGCCTGGTCACACCTGGCTTCTGTTCAAAACTATACCACATCATTCATGGCTCTCGCCGAGCAAGTGGACGACATGGCGGAATCGGAGCAGTTGGATCTGTCAGAACATCATAGCTTATACGTTTGTGTAGGCTGTAGTGGCCGCCCTCGTGGCCCTCTTTGAACCACCCTCGCGGCCCCTTTCCGCGGCCCCGTCGCCGCCCTTTCAGCGGCCCCGTCGCCGCCCTTTCAGCGGCCCCATCGCCGCCCTTCCGCGGCCCTGTCGCCGCCCTTCCACGGCCTCACCGCCCACCCTTGCAGCGGCCCCGTCGCCGCCCTTACGCGGCCCCGTAGCCGCCCTTCCGCGGCCCCGTCGCCCCCCTTTCAGCGGTCCCGTCGCCACCCTCTCAGCGGCCCCGTCGCCGCCCACCCTTTTAGCAGCCCCGTCGCCGCCCTTCAGCGGCCCCGTCACCGCACTTCCGTGGCCCAGTCGCCGCACTATCAGCGGCCCGTCGCCGCCCTTTCAGCGGCCCGTCGCCGCCCTTTCAGCGGCCCCGCTGCCGCCCTTCCACGGACCCATTGCCGCTCAGCCGCCCAGCGCCCGAGCCGCGGAGCAGCCCACCCACCGAGCAGCCGAGCCGCCGAGCACCCGAGCCGCCGAGCAGCCAAGCCGCCCGACTGCCGAGCCGCCCTGCACCCGAGCCGTCAGACCGCCGAGCCGCCCAGCAGCCGAGCCGCCGAGCCGTCGAGCCACACCGCAGCCGAGGCGCTGCCGCTTGTCGGCCTGCCCGCGACCGCCCCAATTGCCTGGCAAGAGCAGCGCCTCTACCACTGCACTGCCCTGCCCCACTATACTCGCTGCCTATCTACTGCTGTCATGGCCTCCCCTAGTGCTCTCACCTTTGACGCTGAGGGTCAGGCAGTTGACTTTGAGGTCTGTGTAGATGATCTGCAGCTTTTCTTACACTGCGATAGGGCAGACGGTCTCTCCCTGTTTGACCTCACTTCTGGTGCCTCTCCTGCCCCTGCTGCTGATGCTGACGCCATTGTTCGCTCACAGTGAGCCACGCATGATGCTGCTGCTCGCCTTGTTGTGCGCCGCCACTTACCGACCACTGAGCGTGCACATTTTAGCCAGTACAAGAGTGCTCAGACCTTGTACGACACTGTAGTTGCACGCTACTCTTCCCCAACCACTACTGCTCTAAACCGCCTCATGCTACCGTACCTCTTCCCTGACCTTGCTGCCTTTCCCACAGTGGCTGACCTCATAACGCACCTCTGCACTAGTGACACTTGCTACCGCGCTGCCCTTCCTGCTTAGTTCAGCGCCAAGAACCCCCCCCCCCCCCCCCCATGTACATCACCCTCTACTACATAGTCACCCAGCTCCTTGACTCTCTCCGCGTAGTCACAGACCACTTCCTCTCAGTTTGCCCACCACTCTCACCGTTGACCTCCTAGAGAAGGCCCTCGTAGCAGCAGAGAAGAGTATAGTAACTGTAGGAGCCTCTCGTGGTGACCCCCGCACCCTCGCCTTTGAGGGGTGTTCTCCCTCCCCCCTCTTGCCCTCTCTTGCCTCTGTTGCTGGGGCCAACCTTGTTGGCTTCGAATCGGTCGGCGCTGCGTCTGCCCCGAGCGCAAGACGCTGCACCGGCAAGGGAAAGAGGGGCAAGGGCGCTGGAGGGGCTGGCGAGGGCGGTGGAGGTGGTTGTGGAGGCAGTGGAAGGAGTGGGGGTGGTGGTGAGAGTGGTGCCGGGGGTGGCGGCGGCGGCGGCAGCAGTGGAGGCGGCGGAGGTGGCGGTGGTGGCGGAGGGAGCGAAGGCGGTGGAGGTGGCGGAGGAGGCGGAGGTGGAGGAGGCATCGGAGGCGGCGGTGGTGGAGCGGGTCGCGACTCTGCGCAGAGGAGTGGCTCAGGTGCTGGTCCGCGCCAGCAGCAGCGGAGTGGTGTGACCCTGTCCCCTCAGCAGCTTCGTTAGTGGTACAGCGCGCGTCAGCGCGGTGGGGGTTTTGGTCCCTGCACTTACGTCCTCCGTACCGGCGACTGAGCTGGTGAGCAGTGCGGGGGCCCGCACTCCACCCAGCGCTGCTTCGGTCGCTTGATGGACGCGTGGCGTTGCCAAATCCCTGAGGGGTCAGAGATCCCTCGCTGAGGAGATTTGTCTAGGGCGGGGGTTGCCGTCTTTGATCTTGACTATGATGCTATCCTTTCTGCCATGTATTATGTGACTACTAGTGTTGAGGGTGACTGTTACCTGTATGTACCGCCTCACCCGGGCATTGAGGCCACTACTCTAGGTGCTGGTGAGGCTGCTGCTCTAGGTGCTAGTGCGTCTGCTGCCCCACGTGCTAGTGCATCTGCTGCCCTAGGTGCCAGTGCGTCTGCTGCCCCAGGTGGTGGTGAGTCTGCTCTCTCAGGTACTACGTCGGCTCAGGCCTTCCCCACCTTCACCCTTGACTCGGGTGCATCGTGCTCCTTCTTTTGAGACCGCACCACTCTTACGCCGCTCAATCGGCCGGTTGCAGTCTCCCTGGCATACCCCTCTGGGGGTCATGTCCTTGCTCGCTTCTCCACTGTCTTACCGTGCCCGGCAGCACCCTCTGGCACCCCGTCAGGTCTCTACCTCCCCTTGTTCTCTATGAACTTGGTGAGTGGAGCTGACCTGAAGGATAGGGGGGTTGACCAGTTCACTCCTGCGAGTTAGCGAGTGACCCACTACACGTGTGCTCGGAGAGGCCGACACTTGGCCACGTTCACCCATCGGCCAGGGTCGAGCCTGTACACCCTTACTACTAAGTCTCCTCCGGCTGCTGAGTCTGCCCAGGTTGCTGCGTCGATTCAGGTGTTTGCTGCAGCGTCCAGGTCTGGTCCTGAGCCTGCTCCCTGCTCGTGTCGTCAACTATCCCACCAGACTCTCCTTTAGCACCACCGCCTTGGTCACCCCTCCCTGCCTCGTCTTCGAGGCATGGCCTCCTGTGTCCTTGTCTCTGGTCTCCCTCGGTCTCTCCCTCCCCTACCTCCGGGGCCTGGCCCTACCTGCGTCCCCTTCGTCGAGGGGCGACATCGCGCCGCCCCTCACTCCTCTGAGTTTCCTCCGACAGAGGCTCCGCTGCAGACTCTCCACATGGACGTGTGGGGCCCAGCCCGCGTCAGTGGGCAGGGGCGCGAGCGGTACTTCCTGGTGGTGGTTAACGACTACTCGCGCTACACCATAGTCTTCCCCTTGCGTAGCAAGGGTGACGTCACTGGGGTGTTGATCGACTGGATCCGCGCAGCTCGTCTCCAGCTCAGAGAGTGTTTCGGCTCGGACTTTCCTATTCTGCGTCTGCACTCGGACAGAGGCGGGAAGGTTGGCGATGCGTCTGCGTTTCGGATCTGGGGATCTCGAGCGTTTGTCTGCGACTTGTCTGCGGACAAGCTGTCCCCCCGTGCTGCTCCCTGCGTCTTCCTTGGCTTCCCCCCTAACAGGCCTGGGTGGCAGTTTTACCACCCCACCTCGCGTCGTGTTCTGTCCTCCCAGGACGTCACCTTTGGTGAGTCGGTGCCTTACTACCGTCTCTTCCCCTACCGCACTGAGCCTCTCCCCCCCGCTGCCGCTCTTCCTTGCGCTAGATCCTCCCCCTGTAGACCCCCTCCCCCCTTAGGGTCCTGCCTCGTCAGCTGTGTCCTAGGTAGACGCAGTCGAGCCTGTTGAGGTAGCTGTTGACTTTGGTGCTACTACAGGTGCTGAGCCTTCGGGTGCCGGGTCTGGGGGTGCTGAGACTAGGGGTGGTGAGACTGGGGGTGCTGAGTCTAGGGGTTCTGAGCCTGTGGGTGCTGGGTCTGGGGGTGCGGAGCCTGGGGGTGCGGAGCCTGGAGGTGAGGAGCATGGGGGTGCTGAGCCTGGGGGCACTGGGTCTGCTCGTGTGGCTTCTGGCAGTGCTTCGTGGAGGCGGGAGCCACTCTCTCCACAGGAGCTGCTGGGGCTACTGGAGTTGGTCCTGCTAGAGCTACTGGCGGTACTAGTGCTGCTAGAGATGGAGGTGCTGGGGGTATTGGTGCTAGTGTTTCTACTGGCGCTGGTGTGTCTTGGGGTGCTGCTTAGGCTGCTAGTGGTGACGGTCCTACTAGAGCTGGTGCTGCTGGAGCTAGAGTTACTGGGGGTGTTGGCGCTGGTGGTGCTGCTAGCGCTGGTGCTTTTGAGGGTGCTGGAGTTGGCGCTGGTGGAGCTGGAGGTGCTGATGGCGCTGGTGCTGCCGCTAGGGGTACTGGTGCCGTCCTTGCTGGTTCTGGAGGCGCTGAGCGGCCGAGGCCGTATTTAGTTCCGCTCTTGGAGGAGGTTCTTGGTCTCCCGCCCTCTCCTGGTCCTGCTCCTCCCTTAGAGTGTCCACAGCCTGTCCAGTTGTAGTCATAGTTACAGCTCGCCTCCCCTCTACCTGCTCCTTCTCCCTACACTGGTCCTACTAGAGTTCTTGCTGAGCGTCGTGAGCTTGCGTCTCGTCCTGCGTCGCCTGTTCGTGCTGCTCGCACTAGTCGTCCTGCTGCGCGTCCTCGTCCTCCTGCGGTCCCCAGCACACACCAGATGGCACTGCGTCCTTCCACTGCTCCTCTGCGTGTCCCGTTGCCGTCTCCTCTAGAGTCCTCTCTTCCTTCTCTTTCTGACCCGGAGTCTGACTCCCTTCGTGCTGCTAGTCCTTCGGTCACGCACCTTCTTGCTACTGTTGTCACTGACCCTTCCTTTGAGTCCACTGCTGCGTCTGCCCTAGTTGCTGAGCTTGTCGACTTCGCTGCTCACTGTTGTCAAACTCATGTTTTAGTCTGTGTAGGCTATAGTGGGGTAGACAATATGGGGTACAACACTTTTAGGTTTTCCTACTTGTACCCACCTGTTTGCTAGTTCATTCATCCCTCATTTCTTCACATGGTATAGAGCAGGTTCCCTAGTGGGAACGATTCCTTGGGCCCACCACTGGAAACTTTTTCTGACCGGAGCGCCAGTCGCTCCTTCCCAAGGCGTGCCTTGTGGGCCGCCCTTCTGTCGAGCTCTCGTAGAGGCCCCTCTCACGGCCCCTCGTGCCGCCCCTAGCGGCCCCGTCGCTGCACTTCCAGGCCCCTCGCGGCCCCTAGCGGCCCCGTTGCCGCCCCTACGCGGCCCCGTCGCCGCCCCTAGCGGCCTTGTCGCCGCCCCTAGCGGCCCCGTAGCAGCCTCCCTTCCTTCGCGGCCCCGTTGCCAGCCCTACACGGCCCCGTTGCCGCCCTTCCAGGCCCCTCGCGGCCCCTAGCGGCCCCGTTGCCACCCCTAAGCGGCCTCGACGCTGCCCTTGGCGGCCCTGTCGCCGCCCCTAGTGGCCCCGTAGCCGCCTCCCTCCCTACGCGGCCCTGTTGCCGCCCCTACGCGGCCCCATTGCCGCCCCTAGCGGCCTTGTTATTGTCCCTACGCGGCCCCGTCGCCGCCCCTAGCGGCCCCGTCGCCGCTCGCTTCCCTACGCGGCCCCGTCGCCGCCCCTACGCGGCCCCGTCGCCGCCCCTACGCGGCCCCGTCACCACCCCTACGCGGCCCCGTTCCCGCCCCTAGCGGCCCCATCGCCGCCCCTACGCGGCTCCGTCGCCGCCCCTAGCAGCCCTGTTGCCGCCCCTATGCGGTCCAGCGGACGCCCCTAGCGGCCCCGTCGCCGCCCCTACACGGCCCAGTCGTCGCCCCTCGCGGCCCCCTCGCGGCCCCCTCGCCGCTCTGCTCCCTACGCGACCCCGTCGTCGCCCCTAGCGGCCCCGTTGCCGCCCCTACCCGTCCCCATCGTCGCCCCTAGCGAGTAGCCTAGCCCCCAAATCACCCAGTAGCCGAGCCGCCCCTGGAGCAGACCCAATTGCAGCAGCCGCCACTGCAACAACCGCCCCTAGAGCAGCCGCCACTGCAGCAACTGCCCCTGGAGCAGCCGCCACTGCAGGAGCCATCCCTGGGGCAGCAGCCACTACAGCAGCCGTCCCTGGAGCAGCCGCCACTTCAGCAGCCGTCCCTGGAGCAGCCACCACTACAGCAGTCGCCTCTGGAGCAGCCGCCACTGCAGCAGCCGCTCTGGAGCAGCTGCCACTGCAGCAGCCGCCCCTGCAGCAGTCTGTCACCTGTGTGTGCTGCCTGACCCCGGTATCCTGTCTGCTGCTCTAGGTGCTATTGAGGCTGCTGCTCTAGGTGCTAGTGCGTCTGCTGCCCCAAGTGCTGGTGAGTCTACCCTCTCAGGTACCACGTCGGCTCAGGCCTTCCACACCTTCACCCTTGACTCGGGTGCTTCCCGCTCCTTCTTTTGAGACCGCACCATGCTTAGGCCGCTTAGTCAGCCGGTTGCGGTCTCCCTGGCGGAACCCTCTGGGGGTCTTGTCCTTGCTAGCTTCTCCACTATCTTACCGTGCCCGACAGCCCCCTCTGGCACCCTGTTTGGTCTCTACCTCCCCTCGTTCTCTATGAACTTGGTGAGTGGAGCTGATCTACAGGATTGGGGGGTTGACCAGTTCACTCCTGCGAGTCAGCAGGTGACCCACTGCACGTGTGCTCGGAGAGGCCGACACTTGGCCACGTTCATCCGTCGGCCAGGGTCAAGCCTGTACACACATACTACTGAGTCTCCTCCGACTGCTGAGTCTGGTCAGGTAGCTGCGTTGAGTCAGGAGTTTGCTGCAGCGTCCAGGTCTGGTCCTAAGTCTGCTCCCTGCTCGTGTCGTCTCCTGTCCCACAAGACTCTCCTTTGGCACCACCGCCTTGGTCACCCCTCCCTGCCTCGTCTCCGAGGCATGGCCTCCCGTATCCTTGTCTTCGGTCTCCCCCGGTCTCTCCCTCCCCTACCTCCGGGGCCTGCCCCTACCTACGTCCCCTGCGTCGAGGGGCGATAGCGCGCCGCCCCTCACTCCTCCGAGTTTCCTCCGACAGAGGCTCCGCTGCAGACTCTTCACGTGGACATGTGGGGCACCGCCCGAGTCCGTG